GAAAAAAACCATGGGCTATAGCCTTGGGTGTTTTTCAGATTTTTGGCATTTTCTTCAAATGGACGTAACTTGAAAATTTAAAGTCGGAATGAGCTCAAACTTTCTACACAGCATAAGGGCATCAATATGTATCAGAAAATGTAATAAAAATTTGGGGTGATTTTGGAGCCATTTTTTTGAAAAAACCATGGGCTATATAGCCTTGGGTATTTTTCAGATTTTGGGCATTTTTATAAAATGGCCGTAACTTGAAAAATTGAAGTCGGAGCAGCTCAAACTTTCTACACAGCATAAGGACATCAATATGTATCAGAAAATGTAGTTAAAATTTGGGGTTATCTCCTTGTTAGTTGATGAAATATTGTGTCTTTCTTTTATATGTACATGTAGCTGCAATGGGTACTGATAATGAAAGTGGTCACTGTCAGCCAGTTATACATGTAGAGACTAGTGGAGCCACACAGCACAGTACAGTCAATGATTGGCATGGTGAGATGCTGCTTTAAAATAGAAACTTTTAATATACCAATAAACATCATTGCAAACCTACTGTACCTGTACATCTACATTATAATAGACTATTTACAATTGTGTACTTGTGTTTATAGTTCAAGGATTATCATTCCAGCTATTATCTCTTGATGCCAGTGGTCGTGTGTGTGTTTGGGTGATAGTTGAACTACCTGAAGGAGATTCATCAGGTAGTCCTGTTGATCTTGGACTAGCTCCTGGTGGAAGAGTTAAACTCATCTCTAGTGCTACAATGGATGTACTGTAAGAGTTTTATTATAAATGAATGAATGAATGAATGAATGAATGATCATTAATGTACATTATTATCCATGTAGGTTTGGTTCAGAAATAGCTCATCCAATTGCAACAAGTTTGAATGTTAGTAAAGCTGACTCCAATACACTATTGATTGGAACTGATTCCGTATGTTAACACTGATACCAATATTGATACTGATATTACTGATATTACTTTCATTGAATTGCAGGGAGCAGTGATACGTCATGTGAGGTATAGGCCAAGAGCAGTTCCAAAGCAATACCTCATCAATGATAACAGTAAGACTAATGCATGTGTATACATAAAGGCATCAATGTGTACTATCTATTCATTACTATATACTAGTGGCAACAAGCTCTGAAGTAACTTCAATTTCCATTCATCCTCACTTCCTCTCTCATTTCCTTGTGTCTTATTCCTCCGGTCACATTGGACTCTATGACATTCGCTGGGCACATCCAGTCATTACGTGGCCATCTGGACGGCAGAGTCACTTAATAAGAGAACTCAATTGGCATCCGAAGCTGTCAAATGTTTTTATTTGTGTTGGCGAGGACAATAATGTTCATATATGGTAATGAATGAGTTTTAGCTCAGCTATGCAATAAGTGTGTGTTCTATTAATTATTATTGTTTAATTACAGGGACTTACTCACTGATGATACTGGACCTGTGCATACATTGAAGCTAGAGAAAAAGTAAAAATTTATACTATACCTAGTTGAATTAATTATAATGTTTAATAGGATTATATGTATGGGGATTGCTCCAGATCAAAATGATCCCAACAGCTTGTCACTGGTATGTTGTACTAATGCTGTGATTGGAGTCTTCAATTTGTGCATGTACATGCATATTCCAATCATTCACCATATGCACATTAATTTATTATTGTATTGTTACCTTTATATTGCATGTACAACTTACTCATTGCAGGTTTTGTCCAGTGAAGATGGTGTCTCAATTTATAGACTGGATTCGAGGAAGCTTTATCATGAGAACCATTTGGAATTATTTGAAACTTTTATCAGCGAAAACTCTTATAATATAATGTGAATGGCATTATCGTATATTTTAATAAAATTTATAAAAATGAAAAACAATAATCATAACTAATGCATGCTGAGATGTCTAAAAATTATTTTTACAACTTGAGGAAATATTATAAGTAGGTGTGGTTTTCAGTCAAAATGGCTACTGATGATGAAGACAAAGTTTTGCTGGCTGTGTGTGATGTCATTAAAGGCTCTACCTTACTCAAGGCTGGTCGATCAGTAAGTATTATAAGGACACTTTTAGTCATCTATGACTCTACTAATAGGGAAAGCCACATTTTAGGCAGTTCAAGCTATCTAACGACCTCAGTCGACTGATGTGGGAATCAGCCAAGAAGATGGACGCTGCTGTCCTCATATCACAGATCACAGAGATAAAAACCGGTCAAGTAACACCTGTCTTTCTCAAGAACCCGATACCACAGTGTGAAGTGAGTACTGATCATATTAAATGCTGCTATTTTTAATTATTTTTGACAGGCTGTCTCCTTCTCTCTCCTTTACTCTGATCGTTCACTCGATATAGTTTGTAAAGATAAAAAAGAATTTGATACTTGGACGACTGCACTAAAGGTAATGGTACAATCTTTCAACTAGAAATTGACATTTATTCTATAAAAATTATTGTGCATGTACATTTTTTTCATAGGCACTGATAGTTGATAAGTATGACAACAAAGAAGCAGTTTCAGCTAAACTTGTAGAGATGCGTGGCTCTATTGTCTCAGAGGACAGATTAGAAGTCCAGCTGGGTACTATAAAGACTAAAGTCCTTCTCAAGGACAACAGCTGTGACCTTTACCTTTGGGGAGGTGGGGATAGAGGGAGGCTGGGACACAAAGACGACAAGCCGAGGTTTTTACCAAATGTTGTTGAGTCCCTTCTTGGTCAAAATGTTACAATGATAGCCTGTGGAGGATCACACACTATAGCACTCAACAGTAAGGAAAAAGCATCTTAAATGCAATGTACATATCTACATGTACATGTATTGGGAATTTTTGATATTAATAATGTTCTTTTTTTTAGGTAAAGGTCAAGTGTTCTCGTGGGGTGCTGGCCCTCAGGGTTGTCTTGGTCATGGTAACCTTAGAGATAGGTATTCTCCACTGATGATTGATGGACCACTGAGAGACGTTAATGTGGTTCATGTAGCCTGCTATGAGAATCACTCAGCAGTTATATCAGGTAAAGTGAAAATGTACCTCATACACCGTACATACTGTATCTGTTATTATGATGTCATCTTTGTTTATTAATATTTTTACATTGTAAATCTCAACTGTGTCTACTACCTTTGCTATTTCACTTTCTATTTGTCTACCTCCTCCCCTCTCTCCCCCTCTCTCCAGAGGATGGTAATTTATATACCTGGGGAAAGGCCGGTCCTTTCCTAGGATACATGGATGACTCCGTTACCAAACAGACCAAGCCTCGTCTTGTTGATGCCTTATATGGCACTAGGATAGTCCAGGTGGCTTGTGGTCGGTCGCACACACTAGTCATTGATGAGGAAGGAAGAGTCTACTCTTTTGGTATCAATAAGTTTGGAGAGTTGGGCCAAGGACACGATAAAGCCATAACCAAGCCCACAATGGTGCCCAACCTGGTTTCCATTTGTAAAGTATCTTGTGGTCGACATCATTCTGCTGCTATAGACGGTATGGGTGTATGTCAATGGGTGTGGTTTATTGTTTAAATTTTGTAGAGGACGGGGTATTGTTTATGTGGGGCTGGGGGGCAAGAGGCCAGCTGGGACAAGGGGAACCAAAGTCACTGTTCAGTCCTACTCCTGTTAATGGATTCAAGTCAGTCAAGAATCCACTCTCCCTCATAAAAAATATTCTTTTTACTCTTTGTCTTGCTCCCTTTTTCTCTATTTAGTGATCAACCTCTTGAGGATGTAAGCTGTGGTTATGGTCACACTGCAGCCATTACCGGTAAGTTGTACAACTTACCGGTACCATTTAGCGTCATTTTTTGTTTTCTTATTCATTACAGCCAATGGTGTTGCTTACTGTTGGGGTGACAACGCTAGCAGTCAGTGTGGAGTACCCTCTAGTGTCTATGGTGAACTCTCTAGTCCTCGTGGTATTGTCCTTCCCTCTGGGATAAGACCCACTCAGATCAACTGCGGAGCTAATTTCACTGTCCTCGTTACTTCAATAGGCCAGCTCTTCACGTGGGGCTGTAACATGAGTGGACAGTTGGGGAACGGAGAGGCCAAGAAAACCTTGTAAGAGTTTGTTGGAGTGTACTGTGTACACGTATAATTTAAAGAAAATACTAGCTAAAAATGTCCTAATTTAAAGGGTAAATTTCTTATATGCTACCCCTTATGGAGTATCTTGGATTTCTACAATACACGATTGTGTCTTACATTATACATGTACATGTCAGACCTGGGGTCATTTAAAAAAGCTCAATTACAATTACACATTCAATTACACTCCTTTTCTAAAAATAGACTCAATTACAATTACAATTACATCATAATAGTGTAATTTCAATTACATTTTCAATTACAATTACAGTTTGGTGCACGTGTATTGTAACAACATATTTAAGAGTTATTTAGAAGTGCCTTAAAAGTTACGCCAGGTATATATTTTGATACTTTCATAGAATATTTCTTGGTGTATCTGTACATTCTGTACATGTAGTTAGTAAACTCAAATATATTTGAAATTTCAATTACATCAGTTGAAGCTCAATTACAATTACAATTACGTAATTGTAATTATAATTGACCCATCAATTACAATTACAATTGTAATTGACCCCAGGTCTGGTACATGTATTTAAATGTACGTCTTGTCTTCTTTCTTGTAGTAGTCAGCCAATGCCGGTAGAATCACTGAGTGAGAAGAGAGTAAAGATGGTTGCGTGTGGTGAGGATCACATTGGTTGTCTGGTCGGTCATGGTTGGGTACCAGATGAAGAAGTAAAGTCTTGTATGGCTTGTAAGAAGAGCTTCACTGCCATTAGGAGGAGAGTAAGTATTTGTAATCATGTAAACTAGCGATTAAAAAAATTAGAAACCCTGTTATAGTAAAATGATGTTTAAGTTGCTAAATACTGTAGTACAGGCCAAAAATGGCTAAGAGTGCATATGTACTTCCTATTATAATTGACTGGTTATTATTATTTTTGTTATTTTTCTCTGTATTAGCATCATTGTCGACAGTGTGGTGGTATATTTTGTGGCAGCTGTTCAACTAAACGCTATCCATTGCTTGATAAAGGACACGCTGATCCAGTCAGAGTATGCGATAAATGCTACGTATCACTATCATCATCTTCTAACATCAAATAATAACGAGCAATGACTCCCTCTCTCTCTCTCCTCTTAATCTTGTGTGTTAGTAAGTCATTATTTAATGTTGCGTGTGCTTTATTATTTTAATGTAAATTTTTAGCGTGTTTTTGTGTACTTTCTTTCTCTTAATTTTGTTCGTGTGTGTATATAAATTTTGTACATTTCTGGAGTGTGAAACTTAACTAACTGCACAACTATACACTGATAATTATTATCACATGATAAATTTAAATAATTATTATTATTGTTAATAATTTTTATTTTTAACATTTTAAAATCTTACAGTTCCTCGTCCTCTAACATTTGGTTGCTTGAAGGAACGACTCCTTTATCAAATTCCTCTTCCAGTCTCTGTACTTTGCTCTCTATCTCCTCCTTCTTTGCTGTTGGCATTTCAACGCCTTCAAACCATTTCCATTCTCCTCTTGCTGTCTCGCACAAGCACGGTCTACACAGCACGGCTTTCTCTCCCTCTGAGACCGCGCCTACAGAGTGCCACGCCCCGTCCCCAGCCCACCAACTCTTCATGAGTCGAGCGAGTCCCAATGCATCCACAAGGCTGCTCTTTAATTGGGAGTGGCGTTCTACGACTTCTTTGTTATATTCGTCTTTTAGCCAGACGAGATCAAATAGACACTTTCGGAGAGGGAGGGAGAAGTTAGGTTCACCCACTATAGATCCTTTGTGGTTGTGTACTCTCGTGTGTGAGGTATCAATGATCACATGACCGTCACATGATCCCCACACGCCCACTCGTCTCACATCAGAGGATGCAACTCCAATTTTAGATGCAAGAATTGAGGCTGCTTGATGTTCAATAGTAGCAGGTGACGCTATAAACTGAGCCTTTGAGAGTGAAGATACTTTATTTGCCATTAGTGCTACACACAGATTAGCATAAGGACCTGCTGCCATTACAAGTACTTCCTTGTCAGCATTGAAGTCCATTATCCCAGCATAGCCTGTGTACTTAGTGGAGACTTTAGACAGCATCTCATCACATTTCTCCTCTTGCATGTAATCAAGCAAGAATACAACCTTAGCACCAGTGAATGCTCTCTGTGGTAGGTTAGTTACTATTACTTCTCCTAGATTGGGACAGGCCATATCCTGTAGCTCCATAGCCATTGCATGAAGGACACTATCATCGCTCTCCTCATCAAAGAGGACTATAGTGATCTTTTCATCTCCAAGGACTCGCTCCGTGAGGAGTAGAGGTGCCAGCTGGTATGCTATGGTTGATGATGCATTAGTTATGCAGACTTTGGTTGGTTCTATTGGTTTGCTTCTGCTTATCTCAAGTTGTATTGCAAGGAAGGTGTCCAGGTTTTCTTGAGCAATGGCCTCCTCTGTGTCTCTCTTTGTGTCTGGTGATAGCTTGTAGTAATGATCAGTGTAAGCTTCAAAATCAGATACTCCTCCTAAGTATATTCCCTTTCCTCCTCTGTCTATGAGTTCCCTCCAGATGAGTGGAGAGGAGCAGTGAGGGTGAGACCAATCACAGGTAGTACATTTCTCTTTTACCCATAGAGCCCAGTCCTCTTGACTTAGTACTATCTGAAATGATAACAGATCATGCAATATGGTGCAACTAGTTCAATATTGAGATTGTGTGCAATCATATGAAACATCATGCACTTTTAACCATTAAAACTTGCATTCAATGAAAGAACAGGTTTTATTGTTTAACTGTTATGCTTGTTCTTTCCAGGCTTACCTTGTGGACTTTAAAATCTGGTAGGTTAGTTGCAAGCTTGTCTGCGAGCATCTCAGCCCTAGCATACGAGGGACAGCCTGCCCTTCCAGCTACTACAAACTTCGCCATTGCTGCACTGCGTACGTAATATTTTCCTGATAGTTTGGTGTCTATGGTAACGAGCGAGTAATTAGAAACGCAATAAGGTAGATATACGGTATTAAACATGGGAGCAATTTTTCCTAAGTGGAGGAGGGTAAGGAGAAAAGTGAGACAGACCTTTATAATCCTTTTATAATAGAGTCAGAAATCAAGCAGAGAAGCTCTAGAGGCTCTTGAAACTGTGAGTTTCAATTAAAGTCTGTTTTTCACATATTTTTTAAAATTATTCTTTTAGTCGATAACAAGCTTGACCCAAAGTAGAAAGAAGTCCCAACAATGCGAACGATCCTTTGCCATAACTCTCATTATGGCATTCCTCCTCTTATACCCGCTCATTCTTGTAGTGGGTGTGGTTATATGGGTGTGGTTTAATGATTTCTTCACTCTAGAAGTATCAGTAGTGTTTGTCCTACTGGTTGCTTTATTACCAATAATGTAAGACGATAAACTAGTTAAACTTGTTTTATTATTTATTTCGTGACAGGTTCTACGGGTTTAAGAAACTTATTAATATGTACTTTGCACATAGACAGACAGAATACAGTGAGGAATGAGATTAATTAATATTAATTAATTAATTATTTATTTATTTTATAGATTTGGCTCTACAGATGCTTCAAGCAGAAAAAAAGAAAGTAGTAAGTATCTACATGTGTATTTATATATTAGATATGGTAGTGTGTTTCAAGTTTGATGTGTGTTTTGTATACCTGCTAGCCAAGTTTTTTGTTATTGGCAATGTGTAACATACAACACTCACTCCTGCTAATAGTAGCAACTTCAGATCACCAGCTGTGTACTGGTGTCAGTATTATTCTGAATTATTTATTAATAATTGCTTTGCATGCATGTGCAATGTATGGTAATAAAATGTTTGTTATACAGTTTTTGTTTCATTGCAATAGTTAGACGAGGTAATGGAGAAAGAGCCGTACAAAATAGCTAAGGAATTATTAGAAAAGTATGAGCCATCACATCCCACCTTGTCTAAACAATCACAAGAAGATAGCAGTTCAAATGGTAAGAGAAATAATGCATGAGGAAACCTTTTTGGCTAAAAAGACATGCTAGTACAATGTATGCTATGAGACCAAATTATTCATTTATGTTCACTTATCCAATTGTTGTATGTAATTATTTCCTAAATTTAATTTGTTCTTGTAGTACGGCGTCGTCTTGTACCTGGTTCTGTTCCTAATACTCCAAGACCAGCTGGACCTCCCAGTACACCTCATCCTGCTTTAAGATTTCAGCAACAGCAGAGGCAGGTGGCCACACCCATGCGTCTACCAGCTACTCCAGCCTTAGCTTCTCTTCCTCAAGCCACACCCCAAGCTCCTCCCCCAGTAACTAGGGTCCCTGATAGTTCAATCAGTGAGAGTGTTGTTCAAAGAAATGATGCAACATTTATTCCACCTGGTAAACCAATGAAATAAGCATGTTAGTGTCAAATATAAGATTGTTTACATGACTGGGTTCTTCTTAAGACTTGTAGAGGTTCTCTCTACCTTCTAATACTTCTTTTGGAGTGTGTTTTGATGTCCTTATTTATGTAGAGAGTCTGACTGAAAATTTTCAAGTTATAGCCATTTTAAGAAAATGCCTAAATTCTGAAAAGTACCCAAGGCTATAGCCCATGGTTTTTTCCGAAAAATGGCTCCGAAATCACCCCAAATTTTTATTACATTTTCTGATACATATTGATGTACTTATGCTGTGTAGAAAGTTTGAGCCAATTCCGACTTCAGTTTTTCAAGTTACGGCCATTTTAAGAAAATGGCAAAATTCTGAAAAATACCCAAGGCTATAGTCCATAGTTTTTTCCAAAAAATGGCCAAAAAATCACCCCAAACTTTTATTACATTTTCTGATACATATTGATGTTTTTATGCTGTGTAGAAAGCTTGAGGTGATTCCGACTTCAATTTTTCAAGTTATGGCCATTTTAAGAAAACGTCAAAATTCTGAAAAATACCCAAGGCTATAGCCCATGGTTTTTTCCGAAAAATGGCTCCGAAATCACCCCAAATTTTTATTACATTCTTTGATACATATTGATGTACTTATGCTGTGTAAAAAGTTTGAGGTGATTCCGACTTCAATTTTTCAAGTTACGACCATTTTAAGAAAATAGTAAAAATCTGGAAAATACCCAAGGCTATAGCCCATAGTTTTTTCAGAAAAATGGCTCCGAAATCACCCCAAATTTTTATTACATTTTTTGATACATATTGATGTACTTATGCTGTGTAGAAAGTTTGAGGTAATTCCGACTTCAATTTTTCAAGTTACGGCCATTTTAAGAAAACAGCAAAAATCTGGAAAATACCCAAGGCTATAGCCCATGGTTTTTTCCGAAAAATGGCTCCGAAATTACCCCAAATTTTTATTACATTTTCTGATGCATATTGATGTCCTTATGCTGTGTAGAAAGTTTGAGGTGATTCCGACTTCAATTTTTTGAGTTACAGCCATTTTAAGAAAATGCCAAAATTCTGAAAAATACCCAAGGCTATATAGCCCATGGTTTTTTTCTGAAAAATGGCTCCGAAATCACCCCCAATTTTTATTACATTTTCTGATGCATATTGATGTACTTATGCTGTGTAGGAAATTATTTGATGTATTCTGTAGGTCATTGTCTTGGTATAGCTCCTGGTCCTCCTCAACCAGTTCCTATACTGCCAAGAGAAAGGACTAATATTGACAAAGTAAATGATTATTATTATAACCATTATAGTTATCCTTTAAAAGGTTGTTGAGTATATATTAGGTGATGGTCCAAGCAACAGATATGCACTTATATGCTCCAACTGCAAATCTCACAATGGAATGTCACTGAAAGAAGAGTTTGAATATCTAGGTTAGTTTTATGCCTCCTTCATTTTTGATTATAAGTACATGTATGTCACTTTTTATTTTATTGAATTACCCTATATCCTTCATTGACAGCATTTAGGTGTGCATATTGCTATGAGTTTAATCCTGCTCGTAAAACAAAACCTAACATTACCACAAGAGTCTCTACTGGTAGTACCCTACCACTAGCAATAACAGCAGCACCAGGAGCACCTCTTAGTGAAACAAAGACAGGAGGGGAGGGAGAAGAAGAGACAGTACATGATAATAAAAATGAAGAGAAAGAGAGAGGAGAACATGATGCTAAAGACATTGAAGAAAATGAAAGTTAATTTGTATGTGAGAGGAGAGATAAGAATTTACTTATAGTTATCTTTATCTGTTTTTATTATCATAAACATAGTACTTGAATATGTGCATGGCTATGAAAAGTTGAAAACACAATTGCTGCACAATAATTAATAATGATACTGCTCTAATAGTTACAAAACATGTCATTGGTTGCTAGAAAGATTAGCAGTTGATGGTGAACTAATGAACTGAAGTCCTTTACGCTGAGAGAGGACAGACGAGTGACAGAAATCAACCAAATTATCATAAGAACTCAAAATACTCTTTAGTTTCTGGCTTGAAGAATTCAAGATGGCTTCTACACATCCACACATCAAGGCATCTAAAGCTGTTGGCCTAAAATAAAAGAAAAAATAGTTAAACAACTTAAATTAAGGACCCTAATTTTATACCCTGATTGGTAGAAAGATCTTGATCCTCCCAGATGAACAGAGAGTGCATTACAAGCATCATTAAACTCACTAAGGACACTGGCCTCATCTCTCTTGTACAGTCCCCAGTGGTTCCACCTGTACTTGTAATATTGTGAATAAGGAACTAGGTGCTTCAGAGGCCATGGTAAACCATGAGAATAACTAGAGAGTGTCTCCTTGTATTATAATAGTCTATGCATGAAACTATATATAGTTCAAGTAAGCTTACTTGTCTTGATGCCTTTGATATCCACGCATCATATTCCTAGTATAAAAGAGATAGTGCAATGATTATAAAGGACTGCACTAACCATTGCTGATAGCAGTGACATTTTGATTAGTGAAATGTATGCCTCGTGCTCTGATTTCTCTTTTTTATCCAAATCTTGTCCTAAACCAAGTTTCTACAGAAATTAGGAGAGCATGTATATGCATGTACGAGCAATAGAATGCATACTTGTGCTTCAATAAAGGAAACCAATTGAAAGAAATTGGAGAATATGATTGGCCTTGTACCGAACTGAAGAACAAGAAATGGTGACTGACCTGCAACACACAAGATAGCAAAACAGATACAAAATATTAATTTTAGTTTATAATTTAATATTGTACCAGATGGTGACATGTAGTCCGCATTTAGTGCACATACATCTTCATAGGCAAGACCAGAAAATTTGAGATAAGCCTAACAATACATGATATATGACATGAGTTATGGCGATAAAAAATATTTTAATACTTGGAATGACAATCTTATAGCTCTGTCTGGTAATAGCTCTCTTTCTAATAAATAAAATAATAATTATCATTATTTATTGCTGCATATACCAGGAGGAAGAAAATATAGTAGAGCTCCCTGGGGCCATTGAAATCTCCCTACAGAAATAAATTTAAAATTGTAGAGAAATTGTCTGGTTAAATTACCAATTGCTACATCCAATAAATTGGCTGCAATGGATTTTCCTCCAACAGAAGCTCCAGAATTAGCAACAGAAGAAGGCTTTGCACTGGACGCCATTGTGGTACTGCAAAGTAAAATGTTCCTTTCGTACAAATAGAGCAGATTTTTCAGGAATTCTTTATTCTTGGCGGGCAACTCACGTTTTTACTAGCTTAGCTCTAACCACTGGTTATTCTCAACTCTGTTCCTACACTAGTTGCTGTTTAAAATGCCGAAAGCTCGCAAGACCAAGAAGTCAAAGGTAGAGGAGAAGGAGGTCTTCAGCGTCGAAAAGATCCTAGACAAAATGGTGAAAGACGGGAAGACATTTTATCTACTGAAGTGGTTTAATTTTGATGATTCAGAAAACACATGGGAACCGGAAGAGAACCTCAGCTGTCCAGCTCTTATAGAATCCTTCGAGAGACAATATGCCGAAAAGCAAAAGGCTATCTCTAGCTCTGGAAGTAGCAAAGAAGCAGCTGCTGGTAGCAACTCTGTAGGAGGAGGAGGGAGCAAAGCTAAAAAAGCAAAGAAGGCCTCTACTGCTAGTGATCCAGTCGTGAACCAATCACCGTTAAAGAAATCTAAGATTGAGCCTGAGTTACCGTTGGAGGATGAGGTATCAAATGGAGGAGATGATGACCAAGACGTAAGGATGCCTGGGGAATCAGGATTTGCTAAAGGTTGGATAGCTGAGGATATTCTAGGAGCTACGGAAGAGAGTGGGCAGGTCCTGTTTCTTATTAAATGGTGAGAGAGAGAGGGAATACATGCCAAATATAATTACTATTGGTGTTGTGGTGGGCAGGTGATGATGTTGCCATGTGTTAGGTAATTGAGGTTATTATTAATTATTTGTATGGCTTAAAGATTATGTAACAAGTTTATTGAAAACAAGCATGACTAACACCTAATTATTGTCTTCGATGATGGCCTAAGGTACCAGCCAGACAGACAAATTGTGCATGGGTGGTCTGACTTGGTTTACATCTTGTACTCTCTTGATTATTATCGTTACACCCTCTTCTTATCATTAATTTTCATTATTTTAGGAAAGACATCTCCCAGCCCGAGCTAGTATACTCCACAGAAGCTAATACTGCAATACCACAGATGGTCATCAAATTCTATGAGAGTAAACTGACATGGCATGATGATAAAGCAGCAGGTTAGTGTATAGAGAGAAAGATTTGGAATGATACTCATTAATGATAACAATACCAACCACTCACCCCATTTAATGTATTTCGATTGCATTGTGTACTAGTGCCTTGTAATATCTAGATTTTAAGTTGTGACCATTAGTTAGAAATTATGATTCACATATTAATTAATATCTATCTAATTGTAAATTTCTTTTTTTCCTCTATAGCTGAGTCCTAGCTGTCTCCTCTCCTCTTCATGTGTCGTAAACTGCCTTCACTTCTAATACGCATCATGCATGCACAGAACCTATCCACTGGACAATATAGTTTCAAGATGGAACTCTCCTACCATTAATATTTCTTATTATTATTATTATTATTCTTGCAAAAAAGCTCACACACTGTGTACTGTGAAAGTGTACAGAAATTTGTTTCATTAATCTTTTCTAAAAGAGCTGAGCCTCTCATTATATTATTAAAAAATAATTAAAGGTCTTTATAAGAGAGATTGAAAAGTGGATGTGCAATGATTTACAATACAAAAAAACTTAAACATTGTGTGTGTGTGTCAGTGATGTCAGTCACACTATGCACTATAAATAAAAGATTACAAGGATAGCATAAATACATTTTTAGTCTTTGATTTCAATGACAATAATGTCATCTTCCTTCACATTGAGTATGTCCAAATCAGCCTTCAGTGGTACAAGGGCTCCATCTCTCTGACTAAACAACCCAGTTACATGTTCACCTATCATAATGATAAATAGAGAGTATTTGCACTGTTTTGTGTTCTACATTCAAGAGGGAGGGGGTGACAACTAAAAGAAATGAAACCCCACTAATTCTGGTATGCATAAAATGCCTTGTTATTTTGTTGTTAATGAGAGCTAAGATAACAGCCACTGCCAGGTGTCTAAGCAGGTCTAATGATGTATACCAGAGTCAGGGTTTCCCATAGAGTTTTGGCCTAGTGCTCAGTTGATGGATATACACATGTATTATATTGAGTAGAAAGCTTGAGCAGATTCCGATTAAGTTTGGATTTTTATGAATTTTTAAAATTACTCAAAGTCTGTTCAAAGTCCCTATACCACCTCAAATTTTGGTGATTATCAAAATAGCAGGCCAAAATCTATACCCATAGTGTAAACATGAAGTACAGGCCACAATGCCCCCCGTAATGTGTGTGTACATGTACTTTGTAATTAATTTGTTAATAAAGTATTACCTGAGCAGCCCCACTTCCTTGAGCTCCAGTTAATAAGTGAATTGAATAAATCATAATAATTGGCTATCTGTAGCTGCTCTGCCTACAATCAAAGAGGAAAAGTATTAATATGGGAATAAGTCGGTTTATAGTGTTGCTTTGGGATAAGGAAAAGTAACTTTATGTTGAACATTAACTACAACAAGTGTCATAACAAAAGTAAAGAAGTGTCCCTTCGGCAATAACACATCTTTGATTCACATATATTGTGTCACTTACATTTGATTGGTTCTTTAGTTTAATGCCCACAGTCTTTGGTGGTGGATTACAAGTATGAAAAGAAAAGGCTGCATCTTTAATATTTACACTCTGACTGCAGTTAGTTGTAGTGAGGGCAAGACCATGTAACTGTACAATAATCTTCGAGTTAGGAAAGAGAGTCCTTTGTGGTGTGAACTCTACTTTCATCTGCCGAGAGTCAAAACTCACTCGACCTTTAACTGGGGTAGACCCCTGCTCGGGTGACTCACAGATAACCTGTATAATAAAGATAATAGGAATTAGTTAAGAAAACTTACTTCAAATAATTTAGCAGCGTTAACAGAGCGGACATCTTTATCAAAGAACACGACGATCTTTGAACCAAGTGGGACGTCCTTTGCTCCATCTTTGGGAGTAGCCTCAAGCAAATGATCAGCAGCATCGTCAAATGAGGGACTCTCGGTTGTAGTCTTAATGACCGAAGGAGAGGAAGAGGAGGAGGGCCTAGTGATACCACCCAGCGGTGATGAGACACTGCTTGTCCTGTTAATAATAGGAGGAGCAACTATTGTATGATAAGCGTCTGGTGGTGGCTTCTGTCTCTCTAAGACTAAATAAAGAATACATTATATAGATAATGCACACTCATGGTGGTTGGAGTACCAGAATAGGATCGTTTGGGAAAGGTAGGTGGGGACATTCTAAGAGGCAGGGGCATTGGTGGTCTACTGTAAGAGTTCTCATGATTGGTGGACTCTTCAACGTCTTGGGAGAATCCAGAAAGAGAGGGTTCTATGGATCCACTGTTCTTGTTACCCATTTTGTACGAAAAGTCTAAAACGAAACAAACAATTTTCTATTAGGCGTGGCTACTTATGAATAACAATTATGTTTTAATAACTTACACCCACCTAATTAATTATGCATCCACACTTCCGGTTTCATTTCCTGTTTCATTTTTAACGGTTTCTGACAAAAGTGCAGTAGGTGTAACCATAGGTGTGGCTAAAGTTAAAATGGCTCCTTGCAAAGCAGTACAATGAAAGTCAGTTTGAGAGCATCTGAGTGGATAGTATCATTGGTTAGCACTTGATTTTGACAACAGAAGTCATTTCCTTTAGTTTTTGTACGCTTTAGTATTTATTGCTTGGTGGTTTGTATTGTATGCTGCCAGAAAAATATCATTAGATCAACTGCAGAGCTAGCCTGGCCATTATGCTTGAAGAAGAAGAGACTAAAGCTCCTCCAAAGACCTGTAGCTTCTTTAAAAAGTCAAATAGAAGAGGAGGTGGAGCCAGAAAAAGACAAAAAGAAGAATCATCAGATGAAGGTAAGGAATCAGTCTCTGACTTTATTCTTTAAATCAGCTATTACTTATTTAAGATGATAGTGATGAAGAATCTGCTGTGATACGTAAGGAAAGGGCACAAAAGAAATCACTTTTGACAACTGTGAGATTATACAGCGTCATCATTAATTTGATTTTCATTGTAGACAAGCGGTTTGTCCTCTAAGAACAAGACAGCAAAGACTTCTTCAAAGAAGAATGGAGATAACGACAGTAATGATGAGGAGGAAGAAGAGAAGGCAAAGAAATTAAAGAGTATATTTACATACGAATCAAGCAGAACACAGGCAAGTTATAATGAATGATGTCATTATATGTTACTAATGATAGTAACATCAACCTGCTGAGATTAGAAACAATCATCAGCACTGTAGTTTATGATTATTTTGTAATTATAAACAGGAGAGTGAAGGTCCTACTGATGGAGGTGCTACTGCAACACTTGAAACTGAGACATTACATGATCGCGATGCCAGAGCAATCTTTGAGAGATCAAAAGCAATGAATGAAGTAATCATCATGAAATATTCTGCACCAAATTAATAAAAAACACTACTCTTCTTTTTATTGATACTCTACCTCACTCTAGACATTAAAAGGTAAGAAAAGTGATAATTTGTATCGAGGGCAGAACAACTACACCAAATATGTGGAGGCCAGAGACTCTGCTCAGATGAATGCCGCTAACAAGAAGGGACCTATAAGAGCCCCTACTTTCCTTAGAGCTACAACAAGATGGGACTACCAGCCTGATATATGTAAAGACTATAAGGAAACTGGGACATGTGGCTTTGGAGGTGAGTGATGAGAGTGAGAGAGAAAGTGTGAGTAGACATTGGAATTCCCACCTTACCATTATTGGAAAATAATTGATTAATGTCACACAGGGTATGACAGGTGTGTGTGTAAACAGAAGCAGTAAAAGGTTAATAATTCATTGAATATTATTTCTGCAGATACTTGCAAATTCCTTCATGATCGTGGTGACTACAAGAGTGGCTGGGAGTTAGAGAAGGAGTGGGAAAACAGCAAAGAAGGTATTAACTAATGATTACTTTATATTAACCTTCTCTGTGTGTATCATTAGAGATTACTGAGTTTGAAATCAATGATGACGATGAAGCTGATGATCTTCCTTTTGCTTGCTACATTTGTCGGGGAGACTTTAAAGACCCAATTGTAACTAGGCAAGTATATACTTTCAAAGCAAATTTAAACTGTGTACACCTTTTAAAACACCTATATAGTGCACAGAGCTTGAAATGACAGTCGGACATTTTCTGACCATTTCGCTCAATTTTTTTCAGTGTCTGTGCATAGATCACTTTTGTGTTGTCTTGTTTTATAGGTGTAGACATTATTTCTGTGAATCCTGTGCACTCAACCAGTATCGTCAGACCACACGTTGTGCAGTGTGTAATCGGAACACTGGAGGTATCTTCAATCCTGCTAAAGGTTCATTACACAATATTGCCATGCAGCTTATCTTGCCAAAACTTTGATAGAATAATATAATTATCTGTCCAATTATGCTTATGATGCCAAACTAAATTCTGCACTTAATTTGTATATTTAACTTCTTGTGCTGTTTTTTATTAGAAATGGTGGCCAAACTTAGCAAATCTGAGCAATCCAAAGTTAGGATTAAAGACCCTGATGAAGACTTGTAAATGCTAACTCTTTGACTTCTCCCACTCTCTCAAACTCTATTTCCTAATCTTTAATAAACTTCCCTTCACTTTTCAAGAAAATATTTTAAAAAAATAACATTTAAAACTGGTTAATATGAAACTGAGAAATAAAAGATAAACCGGCCTATTTCACAGTACATGACTAATTAATAATACTGAAAATGTATACATCCATTTAGCATTACAAAGACTTAACAAAAACTAATGGATTAGAAAGGCCTAGGGCTAGAAAAAAATATTTAGTAGAGTAGCAAAAGGGGCTGAAATGTTAAGCATCAGAGCATTTCATCACTCAATCAGTTCGTTGAGATCCTCTTCATACACAGCCAGCACAAGCAGAACAGCAAAGGCAATGAAAAAGCCCAAGTTAGTCAAGAAGAACCTCAGGCCCCACCTCCAACCAGTTTTGGTGAACTTGACATATTTCGCACCATGAATCAACTCGGGGAGCTATTGAAAAGCAAATGTTAAATCATGCAAGGATGTTGTAAGTCTTACCAAGTCAGTGAGTGCAATGTAAAAAAAGAGTCCAGCAGTTATAGCAAGTATATAGCCATTGGCTTCATCACTGTTAGAGCTTATGGCTGCACCAATAAAGAAGCCAAGGATTGCAGTGAGAGATGAAAAGAAGTTAACCAAAAGAGCGGTACCCCAGTGAAATCCAGACTTGATCAAAATGACATAATCACCTATCATAATAATAATAATAATAATAATAATAATAATAATAATAATAATAATAACAATAATCATAATCATAATAATAATACGTGATTTCATGGGCTTATTACTAGTAGCTATATAACTAACCAAGTTCATGTGGTACTTCATGGAATATCAATGCAAACATTGTGCTGACACCAAGTGTCAAGCTCTGTACAATGGCAGCACCAAGGGCAATGCCATCAGCAAAATTATGGAGAGCATCCCCAACTATAATGAGCCAAGCCACTGGTTCGATCCTCTTCAAAAAGGAGAGTTTGGATTTTGGCTTCTCTTCATCATTGACTAGCTCTGACTCTTGTTCATCACTGCTGCTAAGCTTCTATACAACAAATAAAGACGGTTATTGTAGTTTCTTAAAATTCACAAACTAACATCTGTCTTCAGTTCCTTCATTTCAGGGATACTGTGTCCATCTCCATTAGCGCAGGAAGAGCTTGAGTTTCGATCTGGACTTGATTTCTAAAAAATGATATACAATGAGAAAACATCATGTTTTGACAGCCAACCACACATTGCAACAATAACACGATAGTGCAAAATTGCAATAATTACAGTGCATGATTGTGGGGAGGGAGAGTACCTTATCACATAATTATGGCCACGATTTACCATAAGAGTGTCTAATTACTCACAAGTCACACAACTTAACTTACTTTTAAATAGTCACCAAGACCGTGTAGTGCTACCTCCAACAGGTAGAATAAATATGCTCCTAGCAAAACAAGACATCCTTTCCAAATAAAGTCCTTATTCTCCTCTTCAGCTTCATGGTCATGAGCCCCACCTTCCTCCTCATGGGCATGGAGCCCAAAAGACTGTCATTAAAAACAATTTTGACATACCAAATGATTAACTAGTGGTTACTCACATGAGGGATGAGGTGCAACACGGCATCAGATATCAAGGCTGAAATCCCAATAGCAATCATGAATGCATAAACATATTCATATGTTTGTCTCCCTATTTTGGAGTTACTGTTTATCAAAGGAACCAGGAAAATCCCCATTAGTGAGCAAAGACAGACAAAAGTAATCATGAGGAAGCCATAGCCATAAGCTAAAGGAATTATTATAATACCAGACCATAAACAAAGAAATTGTTTTTTAAAAATATACCTTCTGAAGTGCTAGGCTTTGGTGGATCAGTATTATGATTGTGGCCTTCTAGACAGTCGACGGTCGTAAGACCCAATGAGAGGATAACCATTCGTGTGAGATTATAGGCAGTCCCACAAGTTGTGCAGTTCATTTCATCGTGATGATCCTCATCGCCATGATCATGACTATCTCTACGTTTGCGATGGTGATCATCATCATGATCATCGTGATCATCTTTGGGTGACAAATCATAATCATGAATAATAGTTGGCCCAACTTACCGTCATGGTCATCGTGATCATCATCATGATGGTCTTCCATATTGCATATCTGTCCATCACAGCCACGAACTTCCAAAGAGCGAGAGGCTTCATTGAATCTCCCAATCAAAGCACTCTCAGTTGGACACTAAAAATAGATCAGTTTTACAAAAAGATATACAAACTTATTTTACATGTAAGTTTATTCCCTCTAGGGCAAGCTAAGGCATAGATATGGAAAAGTGTACAGCACTTAAGAAAGCTACCATGGTTCAGCTAGGCTGCCAAAAAGTGCACACGGCACCAGCCGTGTGCACACCCTGTATTAAAAATAACATTCACTTACCGAGTTTATTGTCTGAGAGAGAACGCATGCAAACAGAGAAAAGACTGCGACGAGGAGGAGTAGTCTCATTGTATCGCTACCACCAGCTAGACCCAACGTAGAGGACAAAGAACAAAAAGTTGCTGTGCTGTATATGCAATGATATCAGGTCAGGGTGCGGCCAAATGAATCACGTGATTTGTGTTACCAAATTTGAATTCATCATCACCATTAATTTTTACCCCAAGTTCAAATTACACTTAATATCTATCCATAGTATATTTAACTATTCAGGCAATAAGAGTAATATCTAGCTTAGTAGTAGCATCATTTTATTAAATTTGAATGATTTTTCACAACATTACTCATTTCATATCAAAACAGGCCATGTTGGTGCAAACACTTGTAGCGTGATCAAGCCTTTGGTTGTCTCAAATAAACAGCTTGTTTCTTCCAATGCTTGACCACAAGCTGCCAACACAAAAGCATCCTACTGTGCCTTATAATAAAAAGACAATTTTCCAGTGATATTCATAATGAATGGTAGAATAATGATGATGATACAGAGATAATATTGACTGAGTAATAATGATAATAATATAATTAATGTTGCTGATTATAATAATATGATGAATGAATGAATGATAGATGATGCTATAATAATGCTGTGAGAAAAAATGTATACATACAGATGCTACTACACAAAGAGAGAGAGAAAAGAAATTAATAAAATGAAAAAATAAATGATGAAAAAATTATAATAAACTACAACATTGACAGGTGACCCTTCGTCTACTCTGAGGGGGAGGAGCTTGGGGTGGGTGTGGTGGAAAATAGGCGTGGACAGTGATGTCTGGTCGAGTGTGCTATAAGAGAACAAAAATGAAAGAAATTATTTTCTCAACTTTTGCTATGTGTAGATTATAATACTCTTCTACTTTATAAAATTGAGTATGTTTGGTATCTACAGTTATACATGTATATTATATGCACAAACTTTGCAAATCAGGTAGGCCTAATTATAGAAGTGATAAATAAAGATGGGCTATCTAAATAAAGGTGTGTGTTCTTTAGCACCCACCATGGCAATTTGAGCCAATTTGTAAGGTCTACATGTAAAGGAAGCAGGTGCAGCATGGCTGTTTTGAAACTGATGAACATAAATATAGCTCTAAATTAGACTATTACAAATACTGAATCCTTAATACAAGCTGCTGGTCGCTGTTTGCATGACAAAGCAACAAAATACATGGATTATGATCATATGTAAATGTAACATAAGGGATGTACCTGTAGCTTTTGTATTGCCATTCTTGAGAGAAGCTGACAATCAAATACTTCTACACGTTTCAATGTATTACATGTTCTGAAAAAGAAAGCAATTTCATGATTAAATAAATGACTTGGGGATGAAACTGCTTCAATACCTTAGTTTCTCAAGTGTATTGTCAGTGATTTGAGGACAATTGTCCAGTTCTAATACCTGGAGTATCTCACCACAAGGACTGTCCAGCAACTGGTTTATACCGGAATCAGATATCCTCTCACAATGAGACAACACCTTAGTGGAAAGGAAAGAAGATTAAAAAAAAGACAAAAAGAGGCTGAATGATAGAAGTGGATATATTACATTTATAATGCATAGAAGATAAAAAGAGAGGAAAAAAGAGACTGAGTGGCTTAGGAGAAGAGAAGTGGCTGCATAGCTAACCAGGCTCTCAAGGTTAGGACAGTTAGCTCCTAGTTTAACAAGAGTAGCATCAGTTACTAATATACACTCCTCAAGATCCATCCTTGTCAAGCCAGAACAACCCTATATTAAAATATGCATTTCAAACACACATTAATCTACACTAGAATAAAACACCATGCATACTTTGAAGAAAAACAATTATAATAAGGAATTCGAACAATATAATTAATGCCCAAACATTAATTACTTGTTTGCCCACAGACACCATATTATGAAAAGTTAATCTAATCAAGAGCACATAATGCATTGTATCCTCCATAAAATCCACCTACAGTGCTTTAGTGTAAACTACATTGTGCAATTAAAGTAATGGACGTAATTAGACATAGGGCTCTTAACAAGGGAAGGACACTACATGCATGGGCTAATAATAGTAATTATCTGCAAGAGTAAACTTAAAGACACTGTGGCGGTGGTAATTATCCTAATGTATGACACCCTTTGATATTTGATACAACTTATTGGAAATGATGAGGCCATAGTCAGACTACATGTACATGTACATGTATATAGACAATCTTTTAAGACGTCCCAACTTCCAGACAATTTCAATTAGCTATTTTACTCATGTACATATACATGTGTATATTTCCTGGTACATTTCAAATCTATTAAACTTAGAATTTTTACTTTCAACAAGTAATACAAAATTAGCATATAAAATTCCAAAATCTAAAATTTCCATTCTGTACTTTATACCCAACCCTTTGAAAATTACCCAATTTATGGTAAACTAATGATGTACTAAACTGCATATACAGGAACTATGATACAAGGATTAATTCTATATACAGCATAGAAACATGACCAGTATACACTATTAATAGGAATATTAATAATAATTATTACAACTATTGTCCATACTGTATATCTCATTCAATTAGCTACTGGTCCCTATACAGTTTAAACACATTAATAAATGCCACATAGCCCCTAGCCGAAATACATAACCCCAACAATATAAAATTGACATCAGTTAGAGTTCCTATGAATTCAATAATACACTACTCCATAGACTGATTATACATACACTGACTATTGGTCAGAGTGACACATAATCTATTAGTCACAGCTCCATAGGTTAGGTTAGGTAGGATAAAGGGTAAGAGTACAATATACTTCAATTAATGCCCTCCACACTTCATGCAACATTAGTCCAAAGAATTCGTTTTGAGTTCACATGTAGTGCATGTACATGTACTTAATTATGTACTTAATTACATGTACACATGTACTTAATTAGTAGATGTATGTGTCAATAACAGTGATAGCCTTCTAGGCTAAATCCCCAGCCAAAACATGCCATATAACTACAAGCAAGAGTAGATAATGATGTCATATACTCTTGCTACAAGTAGTCATAACTTAATTTTTAACATACATGTACAAAGGAAATTTAAAGAAACCCGCTCTTATATCATATACATGTACAAAGTCCACATTAAACTACATGTACATGTACATGTACATGTATTTGAGGCTCACATTGGCCAGTGCTATAAACCCAGCATCAGTGAAATTGGAACAACCAGCAGCTTCAACGTCCTTCAGCTGTGAGCAGAGGCTGAGCTTCCTAAGTGACTGGTCTGTTAGTTGGTCTATGTGTGACATGTTTATCCTCTCCAGTAGCTGACAGCCCTCGCATATTGCTTCTATACCAATGTCACTAACTCTCTAATGAAATAAGAAACACTGTTATACATACAGTACTTGAACAAAAAAATGGCTCCAAAATCCCCAAAGAAAACTCCAAAATTCTGAAAAATACCAAGGCTATAGCCCATGGTTTTTTCAAAAAATGGCTCCGAAATGACCCCAAATTTTTATTACATTTTCCGATACATATTGATGTACTTATGCTGTGTGAAAAGTTTGAGCTGATTCTGACTTCAATTTTTCAAGTTACGGCCATTTTAAGAAAATGGCCAAAATTCTGAAAAATACCCAAGGATAGCCCATGGTTTTTTTCAAAAAATGGCTAAAAAATGACCCCAAATTTTTATTACATTTTCTAATACATATTGATGTCCTTATGCTGTGTAGAAAGTTTGAGCTGATTCCAACTTCAATTTTTCAAGTTACAGCCTTTTTAAGAAAACGTCAAAAATCTGAAAAATACCCAAGGCTATATAGTCCATGGTTTTTTTCAAAAAATGGCTCCGAAATCGCCCCAAATTTTTATTACATTTTCTGATACATATTGATGCCCTTATGCTGTGTAAAAAGTTTGAGGTGATTCCGACTTCAATTTTTCAAGTTACGGCCATTTTAAGAAAACTCCAAAATTCTGAAAAATACCCAAGGCTATATATAGCCCATGGATTTTTTCAAAAAATGGCTCCAAAATCACCCTAAATTTTTATTACATTTTCTGATACATATTAATGTACTTATGCTGTGTAGAAAGTTTGAGCTCATTCCGAATTAAATTTTTCAAGTTACAGCCATTTTAAGAAAACTCCAAAATTCTGAAAAGTACCCAAGGCTATAGCCCATGGTTTTTTTCAAAAAAATGGCTCCGAAATGACCCCAAATTTTTATTACATTTTCTATCACACATTGATGTTGAAATCAGTCAATAACATACGTATTTGAAAAAAAAACCAAGAAAATAGTAACTTTCTAAAACTGGCATTAGTGAACATGCATATAACACACTACACTATACATGTACATTAACTATAAATGTACTATACATGTACATGTACATTGTACATGTACATGTACATGTACAAGTACATGTACATGTACATGTATGTACATGTACATGTACATTGTACATGAAAACATGTAAAAGTATAATAAAACATATCAATATCAAAAGCTTTTAGGTAAAAACCAATTGCCATGAAATATTTCAATTCAGTGTAGTGGTATGGCTGCACCTTAAATTGCTTGCATTTTTTGGTGAGATTCCAACATAATTATTGAAAACCACTAGACAAGGAAGAGAGGTCATTTCAACTCTCTCATCCTTTAAACTAATACTATACTACTAGGAAGAGACAGCATGTTTCAACTCTCTTAACTCTATACTATTAACACTCTCTTAATACTGAACTACTAACACTTTCTTAACACTATACTACTAACAGTCCTGAAAGGTATCATTACTCACCCTACATGCTTGAATGTTGAGTCTCTTTAACTTAGGACAGTGGCTTCCAACGTGTTTCAACGCCTCATCTGTCAACTAGACAACAAAAATAAACAAACAAAAAACAATAATAATCGTATAAAAATTAATATAATAAAAAGCATGGCTAAAAATCCAGCAATAGTACAAATGTATAACGTATGTACATGTACATGTACAATAATAAAAGCATAGAAAAGGTTGCTGATGTGCATGTACATGTACATATACATGTACATGTACATGTATATGTACATGTACATGTATATGTACATGTACATGTATATGTACATGTATTGAGAACATAATAGTATTAAGATAGTGCAGTGGTTCCTGACCACAAAATGATGCACCTGTTGACATTCCAGCCATACTAAAAATAAAAGGAATCGCGGCTATGAACAATAGTAGGACATTACAATAAATTGATATTAACATCAACCGTACATTTATATCTA